GCATGCTTAATGGTTTCAGCACTTTCAATTCTTTTTAATAAGTGTTACAAACTGAAAACAAGACAGGTAGGTATTAAAAATATATTGGACATCTTAAAATTATCAACCCTACCAGTGGAAATAAAATGATGGCAATTAAAAGTAATACAGGTTATTAAAAGTTAAGGCCTCGGAGGCTAAGAAGTCATGTTAGACTGTCAATTGTTTTCCCCACGGTGGGTAATCAGTTAGAAATTAAAAAAAAAAAAATCTAGTAGTTTAGTTGTGGTCAAAGAAAGAGTCAGTGGGGATGGGGGAGGTTTCAGCAACATGCTGGTAGAAAAAAAGAGACTTACATAGTCTGGGAGGGCAGTGAAATGGAAGGCGTGGTAACCTCTCTCACTTAGTTGTCATTTTTTGATTTTCAATGACATTTTTTTCATTCTTTCGCCTAGTAAAGATGACAGAAGGTCCTAATTTATTATCTGACGTCTATTCCTGTTCCTAGATTTAAGAGAGTTTAACTGTATACAGTCATATAATCCAACATAAACACTTTGAAAAAAAGAAAACTAGATCGCTGATGTTGCATGCATTCAATTATACTTATAACTGCACACCCAAACCAAAGATAAGGACTCGAGGCAAGAATCAGCCCGCACAGCCCAGGCACTGGTGGGAGAGATCAGTGGATTTACAGTTTCCTCAGATTACAGCAGTAAAAGGGAGGAGATCACAAGACAGAGCTAACTTCTTCCTGAAATGATGATAAGCCACAGGTTATGAAAAATGCCTGCATTGAAGTCTTCCATGGCTCTGTGGATCTGCATAAACTATATGCCCAAATGGAGCTGGTCAAAATACACAGCAGACAAAGATATTCTCTATAGCAGATGCCTTCTGCTGCCGACATTAACCTGAATTTTAGATGATGAGAGAAGGATCATCATCACTTATCTAACATGACCTGACAGATTGCTTGGGCTTGACTAAAGAAAAAAAGAGATGGAGTGTAAATTTCTGTTTCTGTATGTAAGTTACACCAGGGCAGGTCAGATTAGTCCATGCCATGGTGTCCCTGACGTTTCTTCCCCTCCCACTTTCTGTGCTCACTTCAACATGTGTTGGGTGGGCATGCTGAAGGTGCTCAGGAAATACTGGGAAATAGATAAATGAAGAGACAATATCCATTAAATTCCAGGAAGAAAAACCAGCTGGAATGGCAACAGCCTTCACTTTTATGGCTAATTCGTATGCTTTAGGGAACATGAGGGAAAATTAAAAAGAATAGAAAACAAAACAAAACAGAAAAGACTTTTCATAAGCAGAAAGGGAAGGGATCAAGCGAGGAAAGAAATAATATTAACAAAACCCCAAACAGCTTAATGCCAAAGTCACCTCCTGGCGTTGCAAATATTGGTCAGAAGCAAAATACTGGAATTTGGATTTCAGTTCTCTGGTGGCAGAATATCACATCTGTTCATCTGGTCTAAGGCAAATAATTCCCTATTCTCATGGGCAATCTAAAGTAGATTCTCTGATAGGTACATGATCTTTATTCCATTTAATTTAAAAAAACTGTCTCTGGAGGAGGTTTAAAGTCAAAAGCTGTTGTCTGAAACTTAGCTAGGATTATTCACAAGATGAACAAAGCAAAACAACGTTTAGTCAGTTTCCATAGGCATGTATTCATCGGATTATGTTTATTCTGAAAAACTAATCTATTGGAAAAGATATTTTAATTATACTATAAGAGATTGTTATTATTATTTAAGAAGCAGCAGGGCAGAATAATCTTAGTTTGATTAAAATTGTTGAAAATTAAGGTGCCATTAGCATAAGAATGTTTACATGTGGCTTCCCTGTGAGGTCATCTCATGATAGGGTCATTTACAGAGTGCTTTTATAAGGAGGGCACAGAAAAAGGAGAAGAAAGTTCTCTGTCCCTAGCTCATCAGTGAGCACCTCCAGGGTAATCCCACTCTCCGAGAAACAGAGATGAGTCATCAGAAAGCCACATTCTTTAGTTGTTCAAGGCCAACTTCCTAGCCTGAATGAGAATCTGTCCAAGCCAGCAGCTGCTTCAGAATGAGAAACCTTCCCTGTTCCAGTCCATAACACATGTGGGTAAGAATGGATCAAGTCTGCCTTCAGGAGGGCCGCACACAAGTCTAGCTCAAACATCATCTAGTGCTGCTGTCTGCCTAGGATGTAGGACATGGGGTATGTCTGAAGAAATGTAAGGAGGTTGGATAAAATGGATTTGGTAGGGTTTTGGTAGAGACTGTTCTTTGGGGTGTTGGCTTTACTGAAGTTATCAGTGATAATAAAGACTATGAAGTCTAGTGATGTCTGAACTCCAAAACTGAGTTGTTTGCTACCCTAAGTGGCTTCTGCCTTACCTGATGAGAAGGAAATTCTGATGGGGGACATTGATGTCCCTATTACTGGCAATTGAGCAATTTGTGAAATTGTTCTATTTTTTTTTTAAACTACTCTTCCAACAAGTTATTAATAAATTACTCAACACTGGGACACAAAAGCAAGCCCAAGGAAGAACAGGAGTTTTCAGATTCATTTCATGCATATATTTCACTCAGTGTTAGGACAGAGTTGGGTGGGATAAAGAAGGGCACCCAGGACCATACATTTCTGTAGGCAGGCAATTTCCGTTTTCCCAGTCTAAGGAGAAATAGGTGACTATGGATTCCTGCTAAGCAAGACCTGCGAAAGCCGGCCGACCTAATTTAAATACAAGCCCTTGTTGAGCTCTTGGTGTAGGAACCTTTTCTAAGCCTTAGCTCTTTTTTGTTCTTTCAGATGTTATTTCATAAAAAGTCATAGCATCTTTCTGCAGTCCTAGTACCCTGCATTCTCCACTTCCCCAAAGCATGTTGCTTCTCCTGCTAGCCTCTGCCTTAATCACATTTATTTGTGGGACTCCAGGGAGGGGATGGTAATGTTTAGAGTAGAGAAGAAAATAACTCTTTTTTTTAAAGTCATCTTATTATGATCCTGTTTAGATGAAATACGGGACTTGCCATCAACAAAATTACAAAACAATCCCACTGGGAGTCCAGCCCATTCAGAATAATTCATCTGTGAAAAAGTGAACTTTAATTGTTACTCTTGGCAGCCATCTAAGAGAAGAGTGAAATATTATACTAAATATTGCCACGTGCAATAGTAAAATACCATTTCCTCCTTGCCAGAAGCAGTGCACAACCCTCTTCAAATTCAGGTTTGGGTCTGGTGATTTAGTCTAAATCCTCTGTTTCCCCCTCTCCTAAACCAACAGAGGTTTTCAAAAGAGCTGCATTTTTGTTAGAACTATTTGCTCTTTTTAAATTGCCAAAGAATAATAAGTAAAACTAAGACATTTATTTGGGTTAAAGTTTCCTCAACTTCATGGAGGTTAATGTCCTTAGTCTGTGATCCCTCTACTAAGAAGTTCATTCCAGCTTTCAATCAGCCAAGGTTATGTGTCAGCTCCTTCTCTCCCCTGCAGCCTCATGGATTTATATTGTAGGAGTTGGGAGCATGTGGAAGCTAATCAAAATGAAACATACATATGGCAAATTACATCCTGGATTTTCTGGAACAACTGAAATTTCTAATAATTTTGATGTTGCCCATATAATTACAATTTTGGGATCAAATCTCCTGATTTGGGCTTCAGAGAATGCAATGCCAACAGGTATTTACAATTCTAGATTAAAAGTTCATTGAAAACTGCTGCATTATATAGTTTATATGCATGGAAAGGTATTTGATAATACTCCAAAGCAGGGACATATTCTTTTCCTAAAAATAGAGTGAAGCCTTCTGTGAAGATATTAATCAAAGAATTCTTAATGTGGCACTGGTAATCCAGGATATTTATAGGTTTTGTTTCAGCATGAGTCTATAATAAATTATTTACAAGTAATTTTAAAAATATACATTCTGGTAGAAATATTTGCATATATTGGTCATATATAAGGATATATTAAGATCATATGGAAGATATGATATGTAGATAATATTACTTAGCATCCAAAATGCTTAAATTATTAGGGCCCTTAAAAATTAAATGACTTGCTCAGGACCATGTTACCAATGGTCTGACCATCAGAACCTCAATTTTTAAGTAGATGTGCCCTGTGCTATGGAACACTGTATTTCATCCATACAGATATATGATGATACTAAGATTATTTGGGAATACGTTTTAAGTCTGTAGATATAAACAAATTAATCTTTGTTATAAGTTAGATTACTGAATTAAAACTTTATTATAACTTAGGTCACTTACAACTTGAGTAAATGTACTAAACTTTAGGATATATGTTTTATATGGCCATTTTATTTTTATTATAACATATATTACCTATGACAATAAACAGAATAGCTACTGTTAATAAGACTTTGGGAACTGTGATCCGTATTAGCCATGGGAAAATCTTCAGTACTTGTTACATACTGTGCACAATTGCATAAGGACTGGACATTATAAAGCTTCATCAGAATTTTTAGTTTATATAAAGTAACATTTCTTAGAATTATTACCTGTTTTTCTTTGTGGAAAATTTAAAACAAACAAAAGCAAAATTTGTAGAATGCATGGCCTTAGCAACTAACAGTGCTACACTAAAGTGAACAATATATATCAGTTACTATTGAAGTGGAAGTAGTCCTATAGAAGGTGAGGAATTTTAAAATACATTATTATAAATATCACTTACTCAATGACAGCAAATAGTAAACTAATCAGGGGTCCCATAGGTCGACTATACATGGGAGTTGGTCGATCTTTTAAAAAAATTGACCTATGATGTGGGAAACCAAAGAAATCTCACTTATCTGTGTAGTTTTAACTTAAAAAAATCAACCTGCCTTTTATTTACTAAAAGATCAAGCTCTTTGTGTGTCAGCACAAAATTTAAAGTTTTGTTTGAGGGGTTCTATTTCCTGCTCTCCGTTTAAAATGGGGGAAAAATAAAAATATTTTGCCTGTGACAGAATATGAAAGAAGTTCTCACCCTTAAAACCAGCAGCATTGGTTTTCCAGTCATTAGCGTTCAAATGTCCCGCACGGGAAGTCCTGACAATAACATGCTGTACGTCTCTCCAGGTCAGAAACGGACTGGGGAAAGACAAGGTAAGAATCATTGTACCAAAAAAAAAAAAAGATGGGGGAAGCAGAGAGTCACAAGCAAATTAAAAAAGCAAAATCAAAATGGCAAAGTACTAAAAACAAAGGGTCAGAGATTTGGGTTTGGGATAACCAAATGCCAAATGTCGCTCTTGTTCTCAACATGGAGAAGTGACATTAGTCTGTGGGAGGCAGAAAATGTAACCTTAAACTGAAGAAATAATAAGACTGTAGTCAGGGTAGCTTAGGTTTTTAAAAGGGTGAGCGTTTCCAGTTTCCTCAACAAAATGGCTGCCCACTATGGTGCTGTCGTCCTTTGTATAAAAGCTGGCATCATCATCAGAAGATTACAGTAAGCTAGAATCAAAACAGAAGGCCTCCAGAACATTTCTTCTTTAATCATTGAATAGTTCGGTAACTGAGTTGCAATTAACCAAAAGAACTCAGCAATGTTGAACCTTCTATGCATACATAGGTGGGATATGGAAAAATCTCAACAAAACAGCATCCCAATTGTCAGCATTTTTAAGGAAGAGAATATGGTACAGAACCCAAAGCTGGGCTCCAAGGCACAGACAGTTATAAGGGCATTCTTAATTTGCAATGGGTAGTTGTTATACTGTGTTATTAGATACCTACTTCTTATGGCTACTAGCACTGAAGAGCACAAAAGAGACTACTGAGCAGGAGATACTTTCATTGGAGAACTGCAATGCTAATCGTAATCACACAGAAAACAAATCCAAGCACATACACACAGACTTTTATTCCCTTTCATTGACTATGTATATACTCGAAGGCATTTGACTCAGGGCATGCATGCAATTCTAATCAGGATACTTATTTGATTCAGTCTTGAATTCTGAGGTGTGCTGATCTTTTCCTTAACTAAGAAATATGACAATTTTCAAGCAGTGTGTGCAGCCATTTTATTTATTTCTCACCAGCCACCTTCACTTCAGCAGAAATATTTGCAAAGGATGGGAGAGAAGATTAAGGGAAGAGGAGAAAATTACTCACTACCTGCCTTGAGGTGTGATGGGCCTTGAGGTAGTCTTTCTGCACTCTCTTTTATAGGTGTATGGATATTGGGGTCTTTCAGGCAGAGGGAGAACTTAGTATCTTAATTGTGCCTAATTTTTCATGATAGGGGCTGTATGTTTCTTCACTTTATAGTACATTTTTTCCCCCATCATACTCACCACATCTATGCTCTTTAGGGTGGTCACGGTGGCCTTCTAGTAAGAAGGGGTCTAGTGATCAGATTCTGACTCCTTCATTTTCTATCTATGTGAAAGTAACCTCTCAAAGTCTTAGTATCCCCACTTAGAACATGGATGCTAGTATCTGCTTTATATCGTTATACTGATTGAATCAGTTAAAATAATGCCAAGTACTTAACCTTGTGCCTGGTGCATAATAAGCCATTAAGAAGTGGTAGATAGCAAAGCATTTTGCTAAAATTTGCAGCCACAGCTCTTATTTGGTGGCTTGAATATGAAAGAAATGGGGAAAGAAAAGTACTATTGAGTTCTGACACTTTTTCTGTTATGGTCTCAGATTAAAAATAAAAGGAGACTGAGTCCTGCCATTTTTTAAAGTTTCCCAAGTGGGTAAGACTGGATCTAGACTACTTGGTAAAGTGATATTAACAAAAGAACTTTTATTGTGGAAATTAAATCCCAACTACATAAACTTTAAAACTATGAGAACGATGAAAACAGAATTATTCTTGTTTTCTTAGGTTACAGCACTTGTTAGGAACCAATTTTAGAACCTGATAAAGCAAGAAACTTTCAAGAAAGGGAGGGAGGCTGTTTGGTGGAATCCAGGGGGCAGGACGTTTTGCTTCTAAAACAAATTTGCATGATTTGACCCTTTGCTGAGTAACACTAAATTCATTCACATGATCCTTCAGTAGACTCAATGCACTACTGTCAGGGAAATCAGAAAGTAAGTCAAGGGATAATTTTGAATGCCAGTCTCAACATACGATGTTCTAGCTCTGCTAAGATGGTATGTCCTAGTTATTAGGGTGAAGGGTAAAAATGACAAGAAAGCTTGGTCCAGAAAGGCATTCTAGCCACTTATTTATGGTAAAGCAGAATCCTCCCAAATGAACATATATATTTTCATTTTGTCATGAGTAAACAGTGAGACACCAAAGAGTACACTTGGATTTGATGAAAATACCTACATCAACCTAGTAATTTTAAAACAACATTTGACACCTAGTTAGAACTTCCACGTTTTAACTCCTTAAACTTAACTCTCCTTTAGGGAGGAGAAAATAAGAAAAGAAGTCAATGTCTCATGTTACCTGTCACCAGGGCAAGATTCTTTCAGATATATCAAGCAAGAAATTCTGATCATTGGGAGATCTACGTTTTCCCTAGTTAACCTTAGCACTAAACATTTAATTTTCGTAATAGAACAGGGAACATTTATATTGATCTTATACCTTAAGCACCTGTATTCTGGCAGATTCAGGAAGTCTCCTGCATTCAAACTCAGACTGAAGAAATAAGAGTTACTTGTTCTCATGCTGAGTAGCAAAACCTAGTTCTTGGAGTGCTTGTAATTAGAAGGAAGAAATTAGCTTCAGGAAATTGGAACTACACATGGAAAGAGAAGGTATTTGGATGGTTTTACTCTGATATTTGGTAATGCACAACTTCAGAAATGATCTAATTTGAAAATTTCCTGAATTTCACCAAAATAAAGGAAGGAAGACAAATTGAAAAACCAGTGGACCTGGAATCAGTAGTGTTTCTATCTGTGGGAAGATAATTAGCTCAAGAAACAGCCATAGGTTAATTTTACTGGACATTATGGTTTATTTATTGCTAGAATCCAGAGACGACTCTTGTTTATGGATACGTCTGATTCACATCTTACTTTTCATTTGTATTTAGACTCACAGCGATGATGCATAAGTAAAGACTAAGTCAAACTATGAGAGATCTCGTAAACCATTTATAAAGTAAATGCAGAGAGAGAAGGCTGAGTGCTCTCTGCAGGGAACTCCACAGTCCACAACCATAATTTAGGACTCGCTAATACCTATTCCTCTCTGCCAGGTATCTTGGACCCAAACTCCAATGGCCTCTGAAAACCGAGACCTCTCTGATCTCCAAGAATAGACAGACTTGTGCAACAAGAGATTTGAAGCAAGCAACTGTTGAGAGATCAAAAGTCTAACCCACCTGGAGAAAAGAACATCTCCCAATCCTGAGTCTCGTGACCACCGCCCTATAATAAATCACATGTAGTTATGCTACACACCCCTCAAATTTCTTCCTGGAATTATTAACAAATGCCCTTAAACAAAAATATACATGAAGAGAGTAACATTTATAAACACCTACAAGATATGGGTAGCCATCTATGACCTTTCAAACCAATGAAATGAACATGACTTTCTGGGGAGTTCTATATATGTAATCATTTCTAGTTTTGCATCCTTTGCTGAACTCATAGTAATAACCAACATTTAGTGAGCACTTGGCCATGGCTAGGCACTGTATGTTTTATGTACATCATTGTTGCATGATATTGAAAATCATATGATGTGGGTAACATTCTTATTCCTGTTTCACAGACAACAAAATTGAGGCTATGAGTTACACACAGTAACTCAAATACACAGGTAGTAAGTAGAACTAGAATTCAAGCCAGCTGGACTTGGCTATATAACTTATGCTATCAATCACCATATAACACTATTTCCTAATGGATACACACACACACATCTATTTGTCAGGAAGTTCTTTGACAACTGGATCAAAAAGCCAAGTATGGCACGTTGCGTCCTCATGGTTACACACACTTTGTGCACACACTCTTTCTCGACTCTGTTGATTTTTGTTTACCATAACATTCAGAAGATTCCTGAGTCTTAATTTGTTCTGCAGGTTCCAAAGGCCTAACTTTTACCCATTCTTTCAAAGGTAAACAGAAAAATAACACACCAGGAAAATCACATGATTTTTATAATAGTTTACATGTATGCTGTGTGTCATAACATCAGTATATTATTGCATACCATTATTGTTATGAACTTGTCATCTTGCCTGCCATGGCCACACTTGGATGTGGTTCACAGCCAGGCTATGTGACCCTTCTCTGTTCAATGAACCTCAGCTGAACCTCACCTTAAACACTTCTAGTTTTCAGCTGCAAAAACAGCATAATTGACACTATCACTACACAGTGTTTGCATTACATTTCTACTCTGAGCAGTTCCGAGTATTTCACAGGCCCAACACAAGGTTTAGAAGAAGCAGGACATCTCCCAAGAGAGACATTTTGTGTAGTGTTTCTTGTTGGGCTAAGTGCAACTGCCAGCACTTCAATTGAAAAAAAAAAATGCTTCACCAAAAGGTTTTCCCAGATAATTCTGGGAAATTCATGTGTGAGTGCTAAGCCAAGATGGGCGGATCACGAGGTCAGGAGATCAAGACCATCCTGGCTAACACGATGAAACCCCCTCTCTACTAAAAATACAAAAAACTAGCCGGGCGAGGTGGCGGGCGCCTGTGGTCCCAGCTACTCAGGAGGCTGAGGCAGGAGAATGGCGTAAACCCGGGAGGCGGAGCTTGCAGTGAGCTGAGATCCGGCCACTGCACTCCAGCCTGGGTGACAGAGTGAGACTCCGTTTCAAAAAAAAAAAAAAAAAATCTGTACCTGGTGGTCTTTAAAAACAAGGACCAATTTGAAATCTTGGGTGACTGACTCACCTGCACTTATTAAGGAGAAAAAGATAACCAACCTCCTGCTCAACCCACCACCCAAATATATCCTCATTGTCATTTAGGGGCAGCTGATAAAAAAGACAACAGATACACATCTTATTACAGAAAGAGAATTTATCAATAAGAGGAGCAACAGCTAGTCCAGATAATGAACCTGTTTCCTAAAAGAGCAATCCTAAAATACAAGTGATTCTGTCTAATGAAATGATGAGGCCCAGATCAATGGGAAAATTGCAT